GCCACCATCGCATGGGTATGATCACATACTCACGTGCATTGACCGTTTTACAAGATGGCCCGAAGCTATTCCCATCACGTCTATCACGGCGGAGACAATTGCTCACCGCTTCGTAGAACGATGGATAGCATTGTACGGTTGTCCCTCGACTGTCACGACTGACCGAGGACAACAATTTGAGTCCGCATTATTCTCCTCACTGATCCGGCTGCTTGGTACGGAACGCATACGCACTACCGCCTACCATCCAGCATCGAATGGTTTAGTCGAACGGTTTCATCGCCAACTTAAAAGTGCTCTCCGAGCACACGAAAACGACGATTGGTACGAAACCTTACCGCTCGTTCTCTTAGGCATCAGAACGAGTTTGAAGGCAGATATTCAATGTTCCGCCGCTGAACTTGTATACGGCACGACATTGCGTCTGCCTGGGGAATTCTTCACACCACGGAGCAGTAATGATTTCGGTAAATCAGACTACGTCCATCGACTGTCTGCATTTATGCGAACGCTGTCTCCGGTGTCAACTCGAATACAACATCGACAGGTCGCTCTCCCTCGAGAGTTATCTACCTGTTCACATGTTTTCATACGAGTAGATTCGGTACGCAAACCTCTACAACAGCCTTACGAAGGCCCTTTTCACGTGATCTCTCGTCACGAAAAGACCTTCAAGGTTGATCGACACGGCCGCGTCGAGATCGTCAGCATTGATCGTCTCAAACCAGCACACGTCGATGACAGTGCCCTACCCGATAACTCGAGACTCAATGCTAGACCTATCAAACCTTCTAGCGGGATCTCTACGTCTACCTCGGATCCCACGCTAGATACATCAGAGACCTCGTTCTCACGTCCCGGTCAACAGCACGCGTCATCTGCACCATCTACGGACGAGACTTCCGTCTCACGTCCAGATCGGCAGACCACGCCGCCCTTGACCTCGGATGAGATCGCAGGCTCACGAAGTACGAACGAGACCACCGTCTCACGTTCCGGTCGCCGAGTACGCTTACCCGTACGCTTTCGCGACTAAACGCACAGTCAATAACATACGGTGTAGGATTATTCCTATACTACACGCATGCTACACTTTTCTTTTTTTGATTTCTTTTCTGTATCCTGAGCCCACGCCTACGACCATCGTCCATTTGATAACGTCGACTTCAGTCAACTTTGGCGAAAGCTGGTTTGGCCACCCACGCTCTAGTCAACGCACTCAGTCGATTATCTGGTCTCGAATTCGCCTGGCATCCGCTTGGTAGTTATGGTCGCGTCCGGTTTCTTGGCTCAACGTGGTTTCGTCCTACGTCTGCAGCGTTTTCTGGTTCACATCCCTACGAACGCAATCATCAGATTCTGGATACAAACCACTCTGGTGTGGTATGCTAATTCGACCAACAAATACAGCACACTTCTGGTACCGTTCTGCGCAAAAGACCTTCGTTGGCAACTCGAGGATCAACGATCACTTCCTGTTCCGCCAATTTCCTCCGTCCTACAACCGCAATTCTGCCGATCAGTCCCACGAATCAAACCGCTAACTATCGAAAGTGTAAACCCTTTCTAGCGGGGGGCTCCTGTAGTGACCTACTTTTGTCAACAGAACGCGATTGGTTCGATGAAAACAATTATTATTATAACCAATTGTACCAGTGACTGTTTTACTGTGCTCGTTTGTTTAACTGTGCTAATAACAGCCATTATACTTACTATCCCGTTGACTTCGAACTTGTACGAATCCGGTTACGCTCAGTAACCACGCTTGTACTCCTTTGGCACGATCTCGGTATTCTTTCGATACCACGAGATCGCCAACAAATATATACGACTACTACAATCATCTGCCTTCTGATATTTTGGCCTATCGGAATTTTATTGGTCTATTGGCAAGTAGTCTGGTAGCGGTGTTCATAGTTCAGCTCAACTCGACACCACGCTACAATAGCAACCTGGCACCTAGACTTCATGACAAAGCAACGACAGTAGAGAAGAAAACTCTATTTATGAATATGGAATTTAAAGGAGACACGGCTGCTGAAATCCTAAATAAAGGGATTTCGAAATCGTTGAATAAAACATTATACGCAGCCAAGCTCCGAATCATTTTCTCTAGCCGACCTACCATTTTGGGATGTGTTAAAGACAAACTACCGTTTTGGGCCACATCAATGTGCATATATAAATTTACTTGCTCATGTGGAGCACGTTACATAGGCCGCACAAAGCGTTCATTGTCTAAACGTATCTCGGAACATTATCCGGCCTGGCTCTTAAAAGGAGAACGTAAAACGATTACTAGTTCGATACAGGAGCACTTAATTAATTGTGGACACATAGCTCCAAAGGACTCTTCATTTAAAGTAGTCTACAGAGTCAAAGGAACTGGATCGAAGGGGGTTCGAATCAATATTTTATGCACTGCTGAGGCATTGGCAATCCACAAACTCAAGCCTGAACTTTGCGTGCAGAGACGGTTTGTCCAACCTATCATTCTTCCTTGGCCCTAATTCCCTTAACGGGAATGTTTCTGTGGTGATGTGTCTTTTTTTCTGTACTTTTATCCAATTATTATCGATATTTTTTTTAAAAATTACTATATTACATTTTAAACTCTAATCAGTTATTATTATTACCTTATACAAGTTTTCTTGATTATTATTCAGTTTATTATTATGACCTTTGCTGTTTGTCGCTTCTCTTCATATCTGTCAATTGGACTATTATCTGACCCACAAATTTTGTTCTTCCTTACGCCTCGGTCAACATGAGACAGGGCTAAAGTCGCATAAACTTGTTGTTATTTACTTTTTAAGGTTCACTGTGGTTTTTGACACAAATAGCCGTATAAATAGGCATTAATTGTAGTTCATGAAAACTAACAAAAATGTCTAGCTCGGTCAGGAGCACATACTTATTGGATACTCTTTTAGCTCATTAATGTAAAGAATTTATCCCAATAAAGTATGACAACTAAAAAAAACATGGATTGTGGTTTTTGGGTACTATGTGAGCGTCGGTTTTTACGGCAGCCAAAAAGATCCGTGTAGTGGTCGTCTTATATGCCTAATGAAAGTCGAAATGGAAAGTTCATGAGTATTACCATATGTTATGCTCATTAAGATTTCATGACTGACGTTAGTTGAAATTGAGTTGAATTTGTTCATAAATTGTAAGGTAAGTCCATTAATTATCTTGTTTTACACACGTTAGAAGTTCTTGTTTCATTCAACTCGTTAGATAGTTCTGGCACTAAACGTAAATCATATCTAACGTCTAGTGAGTTAAAATAATCTTTAATGAATTTAGACAGATGTAATTCATGGAGAACGGTGAGAAATATGTTTACGTAACTAGCACCATGCTTTGAATTCCAGTCAGCCAAATAATTTTAAGGCAACTAATTTTCTTTAAAACTTACTTTTTATATTATACTTACTGTTGGTGACTTTCAAGTCAGCGAAATAACGAAAAACTCTGATTGTTGCAACTTCTAGCAACTGATATTAGCATTGTTGACATCATTGAAGCCAGACGAAGGAAACTCTTCGAGTTGCGTATGCAACTGATCTGAATGTAATTTTAGTGTCATCATCTGAATAAATAAGAATGGGTTTAATTTTTTACTACTTTGTTCACCTCTGAATCCAAGGTACAATTTCACCTATCTGTTCAAAAGATACTTCATGAGAGTGATATCTTCTCAAGAGAATGAAGAAATCATTTCCTGGAAAAATGTTGGTGAGGTTGAAATATGTACTATTGACAGTTTGAGTGGTTGAGTCGTCAGCATGACTAATTTTTTCTCTTGTGACCTGATAGACGTTATCGGAAAATGATAGCAAGCGTGTCTTGAAAACCAACAGTCAGTTGCTTTGTTGAGTGATGCAAAACTAGCATAATCAGAGGTAAACAAATTTGACGTATCACTGTCTTATGTGTTATCATTAGGAGTGCATCCAGATTTGACCGAACAAAGACTATGTATAACGGACGGTGCTGGAAGATAAAGAAGAAACTACATATTTACTTAACATTTCGACTAGCACCACGCCTGATTTATTCGATTTCGCATACTGCGGGCCTTTGAGGGAATCGGGTTCAGTGAAGCCTTGTTTACTACTTAATTGGTTAGTACTAGTGCTTGCAAGTGATAGTTTCTGCACGTATAGGTCATTCGGAATTTTTCAGTTAATGAATCAGCGAACTTACTCTGGGAACGTTAGAAGAAAAAATATTTGTAGATGCCATATCTGAGTAGAATGGGCGACTAAACTCACTATTAAACTTCACAGTTACTTGTCATCGAGAAAGCCCCAATAATTCTATCTCTTTTACTTTCGACTAACATTTTTCACGTACTTATTTGTAACAGATAATCATTCTCTGCTGTGACATGCATTTCCGTTCGCATTATTTTTCCTAATGATTATGAGTGTATTATATATGATTCACGAGTAAGGGCTTGATGGTTTGCGTTTGTCCACGAGAAAGAAACATATCGAATTTCGGTGCCTGAGGTCACAGGATCGGCTTGGTCTGCACAAAGACCATAGCGTAGTTCCACTAAACATCACTTTGGTCAAAGATTTAGGTGAAATAATGTCTCAGTCTTTGTGTACATATCACATGTTAATTTCTGAAGCAGGTAACATCAATAGGAGAAGTTTGCATGTATGTGAGTTCTTTGTTTGTTGATACTGGTTAAATACTGGTTGTGAGTACTTGTGAAAACAACAAGATGAAGAAACAGGTCTAAAAACCAGCTCGGACGAGTTCCTAATGAAAAAAACAATTTTTATTTCGAAAATACCAAGACATGTCAGGCATATTATAGTTATTTTGAAGCACATTAGCGGCAAGTATAGAAGAAATAAAATTGAGCATTCTGTTCTCGCCTCACGCAGTAATAAAGCAATCACAGTAAGAAATGAAAACTATGTGCTCTTCAATTTTCTATCATTATGCTGATAATTTCTATCAGCTTTTAATTGAGGATTGAAGGTTTTTGACCTTGTTGGAATCAGCACTGAGGCGCCTTAGTTGTGTCTGTGCACAGGTAGGTCTCGTGGTTGGCATGTATTAGTGCTTTAATTGCTTCCTTCGAATTTTGAGTTAAATTTACGACGGTTTAATCCCAGGTATAAGAATGGCAGTTGGCGGTCAGAAAAAGGTTACTAAAGGAGGAAAGAAGGGCGGGAAGAAGAAGACGTACGATATTAAATTATTACTATGCTTTATCTATATAGGTCCGACCCATTCACAAAAAAGGAGTGGTATGACATTAAGGCTCCAGCTATGTTTTCCAAGAGAACTTGTGCGCGAACACTGGTTACACGAACTCAAGGCACACGTATAGCCAGTGAAGCACTCAAAGGTCGTGTAGTTACACTTAGTCTCGGAGATCTTAGCGAGAAGAATGAAGAATTCTTCCGCAAATTCAAACTCCAGGTTGAAGATGTCCAGGGACGTCACTGCCTAACAAATTTCCATGGACTGGAACTTACTCGAGACAAGTTGTGTTCAGTTGTTGTGAAGTGGCGTTCAACCATCGAAGCACATGTTGATGTAAAGACAACAGATGGATACTTACTTCGTTTCTTCATAATCACGTTCACTCCAAGTGTTCCTCGATCTGAAAGACTCCATTCTTACGCACAGAGCACACGTATTAAACGGATCCGTGCGCGTCTTGTCGACATTATTCAACAGGAAGTTTCTACTTGCGACTTGAAAGAGGTCGTCAATAAGCTGTAAGTTTGAGATTTCTAGCTAAGTTTTTCAGTATTCCAGACTCCATTGCTCAGGATGCTCGGAAAGCCGCATCATGGATTTATCCACTTAGTGAAACATATATTCGCAAGGTTAAGGTGCTAAAAAAACCGAAAGCTGATCGTGAGTTCGATTATCTTTACGTTTATTTTTTTAGTTGCTCGGTTGATGGAACTTCACGGCGAATCAAAGTCGGCCGCTCCTGGGGAAACTGTTTCTCGCCCAGATCACTATGAACCTCCAAAAGTTGATTCAGTGTAATTCAATATAAAATTCACCTGGATATAATTGCCTTCCATATGTATTAGCAACTGGATATATGTTAGCGTAATCATTATAATGCTGACTCGTTCTATTTACTGTACTACTTAATTGGAATATATACAGCGCATTAGTTTCTCATGTCAGCACCCACATCTAGTTGTAACGTCGATTGAGTTACCAAATGTTGGTCGGTTTCGCAATTGCCCAGTAGTCTGCTCTCTGTTTTATAGATATGTGTTGTCCAAGAACAGCTTATTAAGTATTATTAAACTTCCTGTAGGTAAGATAATGTTCTGAGATCAGTCATGCAATAGTTCTTGACAATCTCACATTCTCACTCAGTTCTCTTAGTTCTGTACAATGTTTTACTGTTTTGGTCATAATTCTTGGTAGTTTTGCACTTTTTTAGACGTTACTAAAGTCACTAAGTTCCATTAAATGCCATGCTTGGCAGTCAATGCGAAAAACCCGGCTTGTGTTAGGCAAGTATGACTAGGTGATTAAAATAGAATAAACGGTTTGGTTCTTGGTATCCTCGCTTCATACAGTGTCTAAGCTGCTTTGTAGTCGCTTTAGTATCTTGAGGATAATCACCACTCTAATCAACATGATTGTGCTTCATATTCTCAGATTTGTGCGAACTGCATGGTGGATTTTGTTGTAGGTAGATTTAGTTCCTACTTCAATTTGTATACCTGGAGTTACATGATGTAGACTTGTATTATTGGTTATCGGTTATGCTGATCAGCAGTAGCTTCGCATTAGATGAAACTCCATCAAATGGCCGTCCATTGGGAAATTACTGCATTTGTTGCTTTCTCTCGTGGTAAATTACGAAGTATAGATGTTCATCTCTGGTTATTTTTGTATGAATAATATGGGGATTCTTGGAGTTAGGGCATGCTTTGACGTGTTTGGTAAGCTAGGAAGAGTATACTTTATCTCATTTTTTAAGCGCTCTATGAGATAATCACATCAAAACGTGGTTTTTCGATTGTATGATTGTTTAGACAAATCTCTGAACTTTACACAGACTCAAACCACTGCTTTGGTCAAGTCACATTAGCATTGATAGTCTTTGCTCCCAAAAATCACGTGATAAAAATAGATATTTGATGGAATCGATGACAGAAACAGCGCTAAATTATTAAAATGAATACTAGTATATTCTGGAGTTCTAGTGAGAAGTAGTGATCAGTGGAGTTCAACCGCGTCATCGGTGAGATAGTAACTCACTGATGACAATGGTGGATGTGTCGCTCAATTTCGTGGATTGTTTGGAGTTAGACATAAACACCATTGGATGCCGGCTCAGTGGTCTGGTTGGTTAAGCGTCTAGCGCGAGACATTTGTCCTGTGTTCGAATCCTGCGAGGTGGGGTTGTGGATGTGCACTTTTGAGGAGTCCCAAAATAGGACGAAACGGCCATCCTGTGATTCCAGGTTTTCCATGGTGGTCTAACTGCAATTAACTCATGATCTCAACTGTTGAATACTAGAGTCTTGAAAGTAGATATAGTATCAACTGTAGTAGAGTATATTAATTGACTGACAGCAATACTTGAGTTTTGCTTCCGAGTTTTAACAGGGGTTTTCATCTTAAATTCCGATTGTTGAGATCGGGTTTATTCCGGTTAAATAAATGCCATAGCAACTTCAGGTTCTACAGGGTATTATAGCAAGCGCAGACCTTTACTTCATGTTTGGTTCATATATTTACATCTAAATAAAGTGTGATGTGGTTTATGACTTCGCACTGTTGATAGTAAACAACCACAGTGTATTCTCGCCCTGTGAAACTATGTGATATATATTCAAGATATCCTTGGATTTTGCTAAGCTTCATTGTGTCATCCGGCTAGATATATGAATGTTTATTGAGTGTCAAAGACTTTGCACCGTGGTTAATTCACGGATATGAAACATAGTTATCAAAGGTATTAAGGTGTTTCCAGCTTAAAAGTGAAGAACCTCTGCTGTGGGGTGTTACCACGTAAATGTAGGTCGTCGGGTATGTAGAAGGGAGAGCTTGCTTGCGTTGTAAATGTTCACTCTAGTCTTGGATACGTGTGCATTTATTGGTAGACCAACGTGCTATCGCGACTAAGATGATAGAGTCTGAGGTCCTAAGATGTCGAAGTGTGACAATGGTTTATGAAGATAAATCAACTGTAGCAACTCAAATGCATCTATTCCTTTCATTAAAAATGTTGAGGATCCTATCACTTTTTACTTATCACCTCTTCCTGTTCTCGTTTTCATAATTGTTCATCAACATCATGATTTACTAGTGCTACTTTTCCTCATCAAATCACAGGGGCCATACCGATCAACTAATCTATCGAATAATACATGTCTTATTTCAAGCAAACTCATTACGGTTGCGTAATATTTTGGGAAGACATTTCTTAGCATTGGAAATGTATAGAGTATGTGTTATTCGTAAATAACCCCCAATACGCTAACACATCGAGGTCTTTTTAGGAATGAGAATAGTGTACTCGATTAATTCTTGAGACGCTGTCAGATTTTGTAACTTCATATGAATAATTAACGACCATTATATTTCATGCACACGAACAACGTATTTGAAACTTTTAAGTCAATATATTAATTTGGTGTAGTAATCAATGTATTCCGTATTTAAATGCTCGGGTATAGCATGAAAATTTTAGAATATTAAATTGCGGCGAATTCCTCTTACCATTTTGATTGCAAAAACTAGAAATTTCGTATAGGTTAGTGAAATTAGTTTTCGTATTTAAAGTATAAAATCATATTTCTACAACTGAGACTGACAGCTTGCAGGTCAGTTTATCTCTGTTGAATTTAAGTCGCAAAGCATAAAATGTCAGATAAGGCATTGCAGTACTTCTGAGAGCCATCAAATTTCTATGCTACACAACACAACATAGCGGAGGATTTTTAAATACTTCCTCATTTAGACTGTATAATACATAGGTCAAACTTATACGTATAAAGTTTATCTACTTATAAGTAGTTAGCACTGTATCGCTCGACTATTAAAACTTGACAAAAACTTGCATAATCCTACTTAAGATATCATTTACTGTATGTTGGTTAAGAATGTTATTAGTAATTATTTGCTCAATAACGGCAGTCTCATTTGCGTCACAACTTCAAAGACAGTTATATTGGTTTATAAGTGTGCAACGTATTCTTACTGGATAGCGCCAGTTTTCGAAACTAAGTCAACTTATGACGAGTGCGTGAAGGCATGGAAATGCAGTCTAGAGATATCTACTAACTGTTTCCACAAATTTTGCAAAAGTTCTGTTTAAATATATAGAATGGAATGACAAGTGACTCGAGACAAGCGTTTAGTGATTGGTTAAAGACGCGTCAGTTACAAAACTATTCCTAAAATGCATTCCTTTGTGGCGAATTTACGGAAGGCATAACCAAAGTTTATCCAATCAGTCTGTTGATGGTGTTATGTTTACATTATAAAAATCCATAAATTTAGGAATATAACAAAACGTCTACAAAGAGAAGGCTAACTGAATCGAACAAAAGCGTTAACTTTCCAGAGGAAATAAAACCTTTGATTCCAAAAACATACTAAGATGCCTCGTGAGCCGAATTAGAAGCAGTTGCGTCTCAGTAGGTTTGATTTTTTGATTAGTTTGTTTTAACGGGCATGGAATGTGAACATGAACACTGAGATACAGGCGCGTTCAGCTGATGAGTGACAAGTAGGACGGAACGTACTTCCTGAATTCCACTGCTAGACACTAGCCAACAATACTCAAGAATGTCTGAAATGTAAATTCTTGTTCTTATATGATTAAGTTCTGATTTGAACAACTCTAGTTTTACCCCAAATGCCCTGGTACGACCGAGAGTGGGGAGAGTCCGCTCTCCCTCTCGAAATGCTCTCACATGTCTACGTTTAAATGGCCTCTGTCATGGAAATCCTACTCACTACATTCTCGTGGCCGGGGTGTTGTTTACGATTGGTTCATACGCCATTTGTTCCTTCAGGATACTGGAGCCAGTCCATGTGCACCATTGGTTTGAGATCCGGTTAAAGCGCCAGACGTTCGCTTCTCGTCCTCTCATTTTCGTAAGCAACACCCCCGCCACGTGAAGGCAGTGAGTAGGACTTCCCTGGTAGAGGCGATTTATGCGTGGCCATGTGAGAGCATTTCGAGAGGGATAGCGGACTCTCCCCACCCTCGGTCGTTCCAGGGCATTTGGGGACGAATAAACAGGAAGCTATGATAGAGTTTTGATTACTTTGTGGATTTCTCATTGTAAACATAACATTGAAGATCCTAGAGAAGGTATGATAGAAGTATTTGAATTACTGTACTAACTAGGAATTCCAGAAGTAGTGCAATTTAAAGCAGGTAGAACTAGATGAGCACTAATGAACGTATTATATTTGGAAATCGTATAATCTGTTAACAATCATGTACGAAGTAATTATTAGTTCGCGCAGATACAACATAAGGATTTAACTACTTGTTATGTAGAAATGACTGAACAAGTCTCATCTGATTTCTTTTTCAACAACAAAGTAATTGTAGAATGTTAATTTGTAGTATGATGGATGTCTTGAAATAGTCGACGTGTCATTATAAAACTTGATATAGTATATTTCGAATTTCTTTATCTAAATAAAGTTCTAAGTCTCATAATAGAATTAATATTCCACCATTACACAAGTCTGTTCATCATTGGGCCGGAATACCAATGCGCATAAAATTTTGGTCAACTACTATCCACTTACTAATGGATATACCTTCCGTAGTCTTTCGTTGATGTATTTGACATAATAATGCTATATACCAATCTTAATTTTTCTTCTAACTCTTTAACTGAAAAAAATTCATGTGCTTTGTTTTTTTTGTACTACTTAGTCTTTTATCAATTTGATTTACTTATTTTTATTCTCTGATGAAGTGGATAACATTAAGTAATGAAACGTAGGCAATTTAGTTTCCTACTCATTGCAATTTCTGAAGTGTACCATTTTTATTATTAACAATCGATTCAAAGTTTAGTTTATTTTCGAAATTACCAGGTTGAACCTTAGTAATAACACTTTTAATTCTTTTGTTAAAATAAATCATGAAAATTCATTAAATTAAAAGATATCTCAACTAAATATCTATGCTTGTTATTACTTTCGAATCAGCCATCAATTTAATGGCTAATTTTTTGAATATGAAATAGAATAAAATAAAATGTAAATTACATACTGTAGCGGTTCACGTCTAGCCAGAAAGTACTTTTTGTACTAAGGGAGCGCTCAGAGTAACGTGAGTGAGGGTTGGAAAATAGAAGAATAAAAGAAAAGATGCCAACCCAAGTTTATGACCTAATGCATTTACATTCATTAGGGAAAACAATCGGAAATAACACAAGCCTCATATTAAGATTATATTGGAGTCGACACTAGAAGCAGATTGTTTAAACCGTTACATATACCTTTATTTAAAATTTCAAAAGGAAATATATAAAAAATGTATATTAGTAAAAGTGCATATTAATTTATTCAGCTA